GGGCCCCGAGCGGGCGCCTTCGGGGCGCCCCGCAGGGGTCCGCAAGATTCCAGGGGCTGTGGCCAGTGCGGGAGGGCAGGGGGCGGCCTCTGCAATTTAGGCGGCGGGTGCGCTACCAGCCGGGGCTGGCGGGCTTCGCCAGCCGTCAAGGACACGCAGGAGGCGTGGCGCAGCACAGGGGCTCCCGTCTGTGCACCTGGAAAGCTGTAGGCCACTTTGGGAGGATTCTGAACCTGCAGGAGCCAGGATTCTACCCCTGTGACCCCTCGGCTCTGCTCCTTTACTCTCTTCGCTCCTACCTCAGCCTCCGCTCCTGTCTGTCCTGGATGCAAATCTATGCTGCTGCAAAATCTGAGGGCTGAGGTTTTGAAACCTGACCCAAGGACGCAGCGAGGGGGTGGCAGGGACGGGGGTGGGGTGGCGGGGGGCGCTGCTTGGGCCCTCAGCGGGCGCCCCATCCCACATCTGGCTAGCGATGTGTGTTCTGAAACCTGCTTTGCGTTTTGTTTTTGCTAACCTGACTTTTCAAAGAGCCCTTCTCAGACCCTCACTAACTGCTCCTTTCCTGGCCTCCTTGTCCATGGAGTCCCTGGTCCAGACTCTCCCCCTCCCCCACAAGCCTTTTAGGGCGAGGATAGAGAGGGGGAGGCTACTTGGAACTTCTGTGCACCTTCCGCCACTAGGAGACCAGGGGCCAGGTGTATGTATGGGAGAGAGGTGGCACCTTGGGACCACACTTTCTAGACGAGCTCCAGCCGGTTTTGTGCTCCAAGCTTCATCTCTGGGAAATGTGACAGTCCCTCACTGGATGCAACCAGAGACAAGATGCATCCTTTCCCACGGTATCTCAAGGATCCAGGCTGCCACCAGCTGCCTGCAGGGCATGCAGAGGGAGCAGGGGGTTCCGGAGGCCTGGGTCCCAAATCTGAGGCTGCACTAACTCCTGTGTGACCTTGGGCTGTGACCTTCCTCCTCTCTGGGCTTCCGTCAGTGGAGTTCTATTGGATGGTGGTGGTGGTCCCTTCTGGTGGGACCTTGAGATTCCACCCTAAGGGATCCTAGGTGGGGAGGGACTGGGGCTGGAGTAGCTCTTGGTGGTGGTGGCCAGGGGAGGGGGAGGGCTGCCCAGCTGCCAGGGGCTCAGGTTCCCTTGCACTTGCTGTCAACACTGTCTACTCCACTTGGCCCTGGACCCCACCCTTCCTGGAAACCTAAGGAAGCCGCTGATTCCTGCTGCCCCCTCCCTGTGAGTTAGCTCCTTCTGGCCACAGCCCACCATTTGGCTCAGAAGGCACTGAGGCTGCAGCTCCCGACTTGCTATCCCTTGGCACGATGCCTTCCCCCTGGACCCCTCAGCCGCCATGGCCCCCGCTGCCCCTGCGGCTGCTGCCACCACCTCTGCCCCTGCTTCTGCCCCACCATTTCCTCCCCTGCCCCCAGCTGGGCTGCTAACTCAGACCTTCAGGGCTTCTCTGCTATCATGTCAGCCCCCAGGCTCAACCTAGCTGAAGAATGTTTTCCCAGCTGAAGGATCCTTATGCTATCCTGGTGGGGAAACTGAGGCTGGAGAGAGTCAGCGAGTAGCCTAGGGACACACAGTGAGGCAGTGGTGGAGCAGGGACCACCTAGGGTCTGCTAATTTGAGGTCACTGATTGCCCTGGTGCCCCTCCCCAGTATCCTGGACCCAGCCCTAGCTGAGTCTCACATGGGCTCCTGGAGCAAACCCAAGCACTGAACCCCAAGCCAAAGGCTGGAGTCTCAACAGGGGCCCACGCTTCTCCCCTCCTTCCTCCATCTCTCCCTGTCCAGCTGGACACCCTGTCTGGGCTGAGTCCCCCCCACAGGAGCATCAGCCAATTCTCTTTCAGCTCTGTGCATGACGTTGGTCAGCCCGTCCATCCTCCACACATCTTCCTGCCTCCTCTGCCCACTCAGGGGCCCCCTCTGATGGCATGGCCATAGGCCACAATGTCTGGCTTCACTCCTCTTGTTCTACAGGTGGGGAACCTGAGGCGCAGACAGGGGAGTGATTGGCCCAGGTCACCCCAGAAGGCAGGATGGAGAAAGAACCCAAAAGTCCATACTCCTACCTCTCAGCACTCCCACCCCATCCCCTGGGCGGCTGCAGAAGGGGAGATGCCGTCCCTTCCAGCCGGCCCCCTCCCTGTTCCATCTCTGCAGCCCTCTCCAGCTCAGGAGCTACCACTCACCTTATCAGGGGTGGAGGGCCAGAGCCTGCACTGAAAGACTGGGCTGGTGGGAGTCCTGTCGGGAAGTGAGGCTGGTGGTGGGATGGCCACCTATATAGACTTCTGCTCTGGCTGTTTTTGGAGGTGGCACACCCCCCAGTTCCCGGCCCCCTCCCCTTCCGGTGTCAGGTACTCCCTGTCTGTATCACATTCACCCTCCCTGGGCCCATTGAGCCAGGCCTATTAATAATCCTTGGTCCCTGCCTCCTTCTAACACCTGAAACTGAGTCCTAGGCAGGTCTCACCTCCTCCAGGAAGCCTTCCAAGACCACCTCAGAAGGCAGCAACATGTCCTTCCTCCATACTGCAGGGAAAGGAAGAAAAAAGGCACGGAAGGGAATGGAGGAGGAATTGTCTTCTCAGGACTGGGCTAAGTTCCTAAACATTCATGATCTTTTCCCTATAACACTGCAATGCAGGCATGGTCGCTCTGTGCAGATGAGGACACCGAGGAACAAACATGTTTTGTGACTTGCTGCTCAAAGTCACGGGACTGGGAAGTGGTGGAGCTGGCAGTGGCCCTGGCACTTTGATAAGATGATCTTATGTCTGGCAGAAAGGTGTGCTCCGTATGTTCTCTGACAAGTCTCTTTCTCTCTTTGTGTCTCAGTCTCCCCATCAGTAAAATGATCTTTGTCAGGGCCAACCTGTGCTATGTACATGGGCTTGGGGGACTATGAGCCCCCCGAAATTATATGTACCATGTTCCATACAAGTACACGTTTGTGGAGCAAAGGGCTGTAGGTTTCATGAGATTTGCATGACATCTGTCTTAGATTGGAAATGACAGTACAATAGGTGTGTTTTAAAAAGCATGAATGAATGAATGAATTCAACAAATATTTATTGAGTATCTAGTATGAACAACATGAAAGGTCCCCCATGCCCCACTCACCTTAAGAAGATCTCTAGGATGTTGACGTTGTCAACATTAGATTTCAGTTCTTGATGGTGACAGGAGGAGGCCCAGCTTCCATACAAAGTTTGCCGGGAGGGAGACGCTCTAGTTTTCTATTGCCCACTGACTCTGAGGGTGAAAAGAGCAGAGGGGTGGGCTGGATGCGGGAGGCTGGAGCTGTAGCCTGGATGTGTAGTTCTGGGCCTGGACTAGGATGATGGTAGTGACGATAGAGAGGAATGTGTAGATAGGGGAGTATCTCTGAGGGAAGAGCTCCCAGATGTGGGGGCAAATCCAACTTGAACATATCCAAGCTGACTCTACATTTTCAAGCCTGGGTTGGTTGGAGAATGAGAATACTGGTGGTGAGTCTGCGGAGGAGGTGAGGCCTCGCTGGGTAGATGATTCATTGGAGTTGAGAATCCTAGGGTGTCAGGGCTGGGGCAGTCTGTAAGCTGCTCTTCTGCCAGGTGGAGGAACCAAGGCCAAGGTGACTTGCCCCAAATCATACAGTGAGTACTGGAGAACCAGGGCCTTGAGTTGGGTCTGGGATGCCTAGAGGACGCCTTGGAGCTGCCCAGAAGTTCTGAATTCCAGAGAAAGGTCAGGGTTGGTGGTTACGCGAGGAGTTGAAGCATGAAAATGGCTGAGCTCAGAGAGAGGGGAAACTGGCAGAGTCTTGGGGACCAAACCTTGAAGAAGATCCCTGGCTATGGGCTGGGAAAACAACCACATGTTTGTTGAACACCATACTGGGTGCTATGCACACAGCATCACGCTTTTGTCCCTGTGCCCCCTCTATGAGGTAGGTAGGCATTGCCATTCCTGTTTTACCAATAAGAGAACAAGGCTCAGAAAGGTTAGGTGACTTGCCAAAGGTCTCAGAGCAGAGGTAGGACTTAAACTAAGGTCTCTCTGGCTCCAATGTCCTTTTTCCTTTCTCCTCCACTACTGTTTCTTGATAAGACGGACAGAAGATATACATACATTAAGGGCAGGGCTCCCCATAAGTGAATTCTTGGGAACTAGGATGCTTCCTCTCTGTCCTCATATGTCTTCTTCATGTACCTGCAATTAAGCAGGTCTAGGAGCCCTGGTGGTGCACTGGTTAAGAGCTACTGGGAGCTACGGCTGCTAACCAAAAAGGTCGGCAGTTCAAATCCACCAGTCATTCCTTGGAAACCCTATGGGACGGTTTTACTCTGTCCTATAGGGTCACTATGAGTTGGAATCGACTCGACAGCAATGAGTTTGGTTGGTTTTTTGAGACGGTCTGAACCATTTTGTGGGGATGCTTTTACTGAGTGCCTGCTCTGTGCCTAGTGCTTTACGCGCATTATCTCACTTCACCCTCAGCCCTGGTGGCACAGTGGTTAAGTGCTCAGCTTCTAACCAAAGGATTGGCAGTTCAAATCTACCAGCCACTCCATGGGAGAAAGATGTGGCAGTCTGCTCCTGTAAAGATTACAGCCTTGGAAACTCTATGGGACAGTTCTACCCTGTTCTATAGGGTCACTATGAGTCAGAATCGACTCAACAGCAATAGGTTTTTTTTTTTTTTATAGCCCTCTTCTATTTGAAGAAATAGAATCTCAGAGAGGTTTAGTGACTTGCCCAAGGTCACACAGCTA